ATTGGCAGGTCTTCTATGATGAGACCCGGCAGAGGATGAGGAAGAAGAGGAAGAAGAAGATGCTGCACCAGCATCTAAAGCACAAAAGTTGATGGGGGATGCCATCAAGTCTGGGGCTGCTCCTTCAAAGCCCAAGACTGCCCCCAAATCTACTGCTTCAGCCCCCAAGACTGCACCAAAGAGGAGCACAAGAAATATACCAGCTGCTGAACAAGGCCCAGTGCTGGAAATAGAAGAAGATGATGATGAAGCCCAAGTAACAGAAAGTTAAAGCCAAAGATCCCTGACCATGATGACAATCATCGAGTGGCAAAAAACATGAAAGTCAGAAAGGATGCAGGTCTCAGATTGTGGAGACAATCAGACCCTTATGCTGTGAGGAGAAGGACTGCTGTGGACTATAGATTTCACACCAAGGAGCAGCAGGACTTCTATGAGACAATTCTGTTGGATAAGAAGCCCATAGTGTGTGACATGAAGTGGGTAGACTGGAAATACATCGACAACAATGAAGACCACTTCCCTGGAGTACATGAAAGTTTCAGACTCAATGGAGTAGACACTTTTGTGGGTCAGAAACTGACCAAGTGGAATGATGAGCTCATTATGCAATTCTATTCTACAACTCATTTCTATCTAGATGGAAGGATTGTTTGGATGTCTGAAGGTACAAGGTACCAATCAACAATTGTTGAGTGGGCCAAGCTCATCAATGCCCTTGCAGAGCTTGAGGATGACATAGATGTCTATGCCAAGAGAAAGAAAGATCACAACTCCATGGCCAACATGTACAAGGAAATTCCTGACAAAGCCTTGGAGACACATAAGCTAGGCTATGTATATTATCTGTTGTCTGGACTGGCCACTATTAACACCATCTTGAGGCACACCTTGTTGCCCAAATCAGGAGATCACAGGATGATCAGAGGCCACTCCATCAATCTGCTTCAGTTGTTTGATGTGCCCCAGAAATTCAAGGTGATGAGTTTGATTGTTGAGACCATCAAGAGAACAACTGCTGACCAAAAGAGAGATCATGTGGGTATGCTCCACACATCCAGATGCTCATCAACTCCAAGATGGGCACATGCACATACTTGTTGGATAAAGAACACCTTCCCTTGAGGCCTAACTTTGAGGACAACATAGTTGTCATGGATATTGAAGATCCTACATCAGTAGAGGCTCAAGAGAAGGGGGAGAAAGCTAAAGCAGAGAAGACAGCCAAGATGACAAGTGTTAAAGAGGCTTCACAAGTTTTCCTAAAGTCAAAATAAGATCAACTTCGATATCTTATTCAAGCCACTTTGAGGGTTGAGAAAGGATTGACCACCCTGACTCAGAATCAAGAGAGTCTTGAGAGGATAACTGAGACAAAGTTCTATGATCTAGACTTGAAGGTGACAGAAATGCAAACAGTTGTTGAGCAGCTCCAAGAAGAAGCTGAAGAAAGGAAAGGGAAAGCTACCACTGATGTTTTTCAGAGTGTGCCTCGGGCACAGAGATCTGCAGCAGTTCCTGTGACAGACACAAGAGCTACTACGTCGGCACCTGCAGCCACACCTTCAATAGCCCTTTCGGTTGCACTCCACCAGCTCCAACAACCTCAACAGATGCATTCGTCCTAGGAGTCCTTTCCACGCCACCTCTCGAAGATCAAGCTTAGAGAGCCGCATAGCACTATGCATTTTCAAGCTTTTTGGTAACTTGTTGCCAAAGGGGGAGAAAGTGTATAGATCATAGGCTTCGAGAGATAGAGAGAGAGAGATTTGCTTCTTTCTTTTTGCTACCTCCTTTGCTACTTGTTTTATACTTATTTGTTTGCTTGCTTGGATGCTACTTTATGGTTGTGTGTGTGAGATACTTGTATGGTCATGAGTTTGATCATATCATACGTTAATGCTTGTGCTTGAATGATGATATTATCTATCTCTCATGTATGATCATTCACTTTGCCTTGGTGATGAGTGCATATATCATTTACTATCATTTTGAGCGCTCCACCAAGATGTATGTGATATGGAAGAGCAACCCATGATCCTAATCGATTGTGCATTTACATTCAAAAGCAAATTTTAAATAATGCGCAAATTTAGGGGGAGCTCTTGCTTATCACATACTTCTCAAAGCGACGATACATTTCATTCGTATTAGCTTTTCTCAAAGCTTTAATCTATATGTTTTCATCAATTATCAAAAAGGGGGAGATTGAAAGTTCAACTAATCTCTAGGTGGTTTTGGTAATTCTTAACAACATATAGCTCATTGAACTAATACTCTTTCAAGATGATCATTTTAGAAAGTTCAATGTTTGGCATGGCATGGACTAGAGATGTGGACCCCTCAAAATGCTAAGGACACATATTGGCTCAAGCTCAAGACTCTACATTTTCATTTTAGTGATCCAAGATCACATTGAGTCCATAGGAAAAGTCAATACTATTAAAAAAGGGTGAGGTGTTGCTTAATAGCTTGCTTGCTCAAAATGCGTAGTGATATGCTCCAAAAGCCCTCAACCACTTTCTCATATCCACATATGTCCCAAAACAAAATTCAAACTCAGCCCCACCAATTTGAACTATCCGGCGCCACCGAGTTCATTTGATATAGGCATAGCCAGAAACCCTAATCAGTTCGGTCTCACCGATAGGGATCTCAGTCTCACCGAGATGGGATTGCAAACTCTTTGTTTCCCTTCGTAATGTTTCGGTCTAACCGAGATGAGCGATCGGTCTCACCGAGTTCGCAATGCAAACTCTCTGTTTCCTTTTCGTAACGTTTCGGTCTCACCGAAATGAGCGATCGGTCCCACCGAGTTTGCCTGACCAACTCTCTGTTTGCCCATTACAGAAATATGCCTCACGGAGTTCATGTGATCGGCCTCATCGAGATTACGTTATGCCCTAACCCTAATAAAATTGGTCCCACCGAGTTGACATGTTGGTCCCACCGAAAATCTTAACATTCACATTTTGAACTAAATCGGTCTGACCAAGCTTGAGTATTTGGTCCCACCGAGTTTGGTAAATTGTGTGTAACGGTTAGATTTTGTGTGGATGCTATATATACCCCTCCACCCTTCCTTCATTCGGTGAGAGAGCCACCAGAACGTGCCTACACTTCCAGCATTCATTTTTTGAGAGAGAACCACCTACTCATGTGTTGAGACCAAGATATTCCAATCTAACCACAAGAATCTTGATCTCTAGCCTTCCCCAAGTTGCTTTCCACTCAAATCATCTTTCCACCAAATCCAAATCTGAGAGAGAGAGTTGAGTGTTGGGGAGACTATCATTTGAAGCACAAGAGCAAGGAGTTCATCATCAACACACCATCTATTATCTTTTGGAGAGTGGTGACTCCTAGATTGGTTAGGTGTCACTTGGAAGCCTCCGTCAAGATTGTGGAGTTGAACCAAGGAGTTTAAGGAGATCGTCTACTTTGTGAAGATCTACCCAAGCGAGGCGATTCCTTCGTGGGCGATGGCCATGGTGGGATAGACAAGGTTGCTTCTTCATGGACCCTTCGTGGGTGGAGCCCTCCGTGGACTCGCTCAACCGTTCCCCTTCATGGGTTGAAGTCTCCATCAATGTGGATGTACGATAGCACCACCTATCGGAAACCACGCCAAAAATCTCCGTGTCTACATTGTGTTTACTCCCTCCAAACTCCTCCCTTTTATCTTCATACGCAATGATTTACATTCCGCTGCTATACTCTTAGATTTGCATGTGTAGGTTGATTGCCTGACTTGTGTTAAGTTGCTAAAATCTGCCAAGACTTAAAATTGGGAAAATGCTAGATTTTTATTTGGTTAAGTAGTATAATCACCCCCCTCTAGACATACTTTCGATCCTACAAGTCTTGAGGTAGGTGTAGGGGTCGGAGCTATGACCGCCAGCTGTCCTACCTAATTGTCGATTCGAGGGAGCCGCATCACGACCATGGTTGGGTCCTTGGGCTCCGACCCTGTCTCCTATACATCGAGTGGGGTGGCCTCGATGGGGACAATGGCGCCTGAGGCGCTAGATCCATCGCGGTCGCCGCCACAGGGGCCTCCATCTCTGTCGCACCCGCCGCCACACGAGGAGGATGTGCCGGCTTCGCGGGTAGCGCGCCACAGGGAGAATTTGCCCCGCGGTTGCATGTCATCTTTGCCGGCAGGTTCTGCTGGACCACCAAGTTTAGCGAATTGGTTGTACTTGTGGGACAACATTGTCTTTGAGAGAGTGGAGGAGATGGGAAGGGAGGAGGCCAGAAGAGGGGAGAGGCGGTTAGGCCCTTGGTGATGGAGACACGTCGATGCCGCATGGCGGCCATCCGAACAGCCACGTTTAATGAACAGGTGGTTAACGGGCACGTTGCCTCATTCGTCCATAACTAATTGGAAACTCGGAGGTGTGTTAATCCCTTTTGATGGCAATTCTAGTGGTTTCACAATCAACAAGATTCAAGAGTACATGACATCTCAAACCATTATTTTTCTATTATAATATTCTACAAATCATAAAAATCAAAGATGTCGTATCGTCTAGGTGTCGCCGGTGGTGGTACAAGAAATTTTACTAAAATTGAAAGAAATGACCCGACTTTTGTCTACTAAAGCTAAAACGCAGCACTTCTGAAAAAAATGCACCATTTCTGAAAAAAATGCCAATTAAATGTTTTTCTATATAGATGATTAAAGAGACATTTTGCAAACCAGGAAGTACCACGTGAGACCCACTCGTCAGAGGCCAAGGAAAAGCTAGCACCAAATCCCTCTCTCCGCTCTGTTTTTGGAGGTGTTTCTCTTCTTCCTCGCCGCCGTGATTCTTTCCTCACTCCCCACCCCAGCCCGCTCCGCGCTTGCTCACTACCGATCCCACGGGGAGGGCCCGGCGGCCAATCTCCGCCTCCAGCATCGTGGAGCCTCGCGCCTCCGCCTCCCACTCCCGAGCCGGCAACCGCGGCAGCAGGAGCGGCGAGAGGAGGACAAGGCGAAGGCCCGAGAGGACGCAATGGAGTACAGAAGAGTGAAGGATCAGGTGAGTTTAAACCCGCAACCCTAGGGAGGAATGCCGCTACTCGCGCTGGCCCTCCGTCGACGGCGCCTTTAGGTCAGAATAGATCGCTGCCGCGGCGGATTTTCGTTTCCCCTTTTCCCTTTTGTTTGTTCTGTCTCCCGCCGTAGGGTTCCAGGATTCTTAGTACATGCCGATGTTCGCCATCGGTAACCCCCGGGGCTGAGCTAAATTTCAAGCTCCTGCAGTGCCTTCCCGTGTTCGTTTGAGGTTCCTTGCGGTATGGTGAACCTGTACTTTATCAATTGTGTTGTGTGCTGACAACCTGTCTTGTCCTGTATAATCTGAAGGAGAGTTATGACGCCATATCTCAGAAGGACATAGAAAGCCCTGATGGGAGGTCTCTTTCTAGCAGTAAGCTCTTGGTCCATTGTTGAAATTTCTCTTTGGACTATAATCAGTAACATCACATCTTTAATGCGTGTGCTATATATACAGCTGCAGCAACTTCCCCCCTTGGCACCGCAGGAGGTTCGAAGGGCAAGAATAGTTGGAAGCAAAAGTAAGACTGTTTGCAACCTTTGTGCCGTATCACATAGTTTCTGGAAAATCAGAATATTTACTGGCAAGTGTCGATTGTTGCTGCAGGTCTATTGTAACAATTGCGTTGACATTACTAACAAGTTCCCAGGCAATACTGATTGTGTGGTCAAAAAGAGCTGGAAAGTATGAATATAGTGTCACAACAGCAAACTTTTCGGTGAGAATTTAAGTTTTCTCTTGGTGATAGTAGGGATAGGAGGTTCCCCTTTTGTTCTCGTGAATTTATTTATCTGTGTCTAGGTGGAAGCTTTAAAATGTCTATTATCACTTCTAGCCCTGTACAGAACATGGAACAGTCAAGGTGTTACAGAAGATAATAGGTGACCATTCTACCATAATCTACCGATTAAGTTACGAATCTCTATTTCCTTTTCCATATTCTCTACCGACATTTCTTTTTATTTTCAGGTTAAGTACATCATTTGACGAAGTTAGTGTTTATCCTATCCCTGCCGCACTTTACATGGTAAAGAATCTATTGCAGGTATGCCCACTTGTCAATGTCTCTTGTGATAAAATAACTTCATGTCTGCAACAACAAAAGTTTGAACCATGTTTCCTCTACCTGCCAGTATTACATCTTCGCCTATGTGGATGCACCAGCTTACCAGATCCTGAAGAACCTGAATATTATCAGCACTGGTGTCTTATACCGTATCATTTTAAAGAAAAAGTAAGACCGACTAGCTTAATGTGGCTTTGGAAGTTGGGAACAGAGGGAACTAACAATATGTGCTCTTTTTCTACTTTGCTGATATCTTTATTTTTTATATTTCTTTCAAGCCTTGTAATATTATGTTGGATACTTTAGCTTTGCTGAAATGATGTAGCAGCATTCAGCTCCTCACCAAGTATTCATCATTCTGCAGGACCACACAAACATGTAACATCGTAACCTGTAGGCATTTTGAAATAATTCACTAGCCTGAGCTTCCCATCATAATTTATATGGTGTTCTTTAAGTGCCACAAATGTTCTTATTCCTCTTCATTCTTTCAAGAACTGTTCATAGTACTCTTCTTCCCTAACACAGCAACACCTGTTTTCAATTGTTAATCTGGCATGGTGATTGTTGAACTATGTTGCATCACTGAATGCTTCGTGTTCTTTCCAGATTAAGTGAAATTCAGTGGGCTGCATTTATTCTCTTATGTGCTGGCTGCACTACGGCTCAGCTAAACCCCTCGTAAGCAAAATAAGTTTGGATTCTTTTTCCCTTTCTCGGTATTCTTTCCCCATTTCTCTAATCAATATGTTCAGCTAAGAGAAATAATATGCCCCTTTCAGATCAGACCATGTTCTTCAAACGCCAATTCAAGGTTGGATGATGGCCATTGTAAGCATATAAGAGAAAAAAATCGTTCAGTCTGGTCACTTGGACGTGTTATAGCAAGTTATTTTACCCAACTTACTGACTGTATTTTTGTTTCAGGTGATGGCTCTTCTAAGTGGTTTTGCTGGGGTATACACAGAAGTATGTGACTTTGTGCAATTGCTCCTCTTTGCTTATGTATCTTGCTTTAGAAATAATCATTTGATTCGACTGTGAAGGGAATTTCTGAAGGGCGTAAGTCATATTCATTTTTTAACAATGCAGGCTATAATAAAAAAACGTCCTTCGAGAAACATCAATGTGCAGAATTTCTGGCTGTACATTTTTGGAATGCTCTTCAACTTAGTTGCCATTTGTGTTCAGGACTTTGATGCTGTCATGAACAAGTTAGTTGTGTTGTAAATTGCTTCATTCTTGTCATAATATTTTGTTACAATGCATGATATTGCTTATTCTAACCTGACTGCCATCTAATGCAGAGGCTTTTTTCATGGCTACTCGTTTATTACACTTCTGATGATTCTTAACCATGCACTCAGGTACTACAGCTGAATCTTTCATCTGATTTAACATTTCATCGTTTGGGGTGAAATTACGTTGTAATATTTTTGGTATTCTTTGCAGTGGCATTGCTGTATCAATGGTGATGAAGTATGCTGACAATATTGTCAAGGTAAAAATTCTTAATTTCTACAATGGGTTTCGTGGTTTAAATTCTTGTGTTATAACCATCTTTGCCACAAAATTGCACATTCTAGTAGCTGTAGCTTATTCCATCACCTAACGTTACCCCTACTGAGTCACCACTTACCGTTTTAGTGGCAGTTTGTAATTAAAATCTTGGTTGTTCTCCTAAAATCTTTCCCCCGTCACGTTGGTTTTAGACTTTTTATTAAATAAAAAGATGTGGTTTACATACTCGTTGCATTGCATTAAAAATATCCATGCATTGCTAGTTCAACTTAAGTTCAGATGGCTGTCTCGTTGAATTATGCCAATCGGAGAACTTTTCGCATCTTTCTATTATCAGTTTCCGTGCCTTGATGGACTACAAAAGTCAGTCGTTTTCATCTTATAGCATGTATGCATGTCTGCATTCTTAAATTTGGACTACTCGACAGTCCACATTCTGTTATCTGAGAAACTATTGTAATTGACATACTATCTAAATCTCTTCACAAAACAATCAACAGATTCTGTTCATCCTTTGGGAAGCAAGAAAATGAGACTTTACCTCCTAGAAGGATTGTAACATAAACCCTATCTTTTCAATACAAAGAAACGCAAGAATCTCTTTGCGTTTTCTTGAAAAAAAAGAAAGAAAACGAGACTGTATCAGTCAGTTATCCTGCAATTTGGACAGTAGATTAATGTGGTCTTTAGATGTGATATTTAAGATGCCTTGGTTTTGTATTTATTCTGAGATTCTATGAATTATGAAATGCTCTAGTAATTATTGAGGCAGATCAAAAGATTATTGATATCAGCCATTCACGCTACTCTTTTGTCTTTACACACTTGCACTTTGTATTTGATTGGCCTAACCATGTGTCTCTGCACACACACATTCACAGGTGTATTCAACTTCAGTCGCAATGCTTCTGACAGCAATCGTATCTGTCTTCTTGTTCGGCTTCAATCTGTCCCTTGCATTCTTCCTTGGGTCTACGTAAGTGATGATGCAAATGCAGCAGCAACAAGATATCTCGACCGGAGCCTTGTAACCCATGATGGCCTAACAAAGCTCTGCTACTCATTTCAGGGTCGTTTCGATATCGGTGTATCTGCATTCTGTCGGGAAGCCACAGCAGCAGAAATGAGTTCCGCCCCCATCTTTCTTTCCAAGATTGGCAGCGAGTGCCTCGATGCCGCGTCGCGGAACGGATTACGGATAGCACAGGACGGCAGCATCGGAGGAGAGTAGACTTGGTTCTAGTTCATGGAACTGTTGTTGAGGCAAGGCGATGGATCGCCCGGTGACATATTCAGGTTCACCGTCCGTTTGAGCTGCTTCTGTGGTGGCATCCCTGGTTCACTTTTGCCTGGTGATCAGGGTGGGTGCCGCTAGTTTCTTATCTGGGGAGGTCAGCGAGAATGCGAGATGCTGGCTGTTTTCTTCATGCCTTCCTTTTGACCTCTTTAGCCATACTCGGATTATTACTAGCTAATTATCATTGTAGGCACTGACAAGTTGCGCAGATGTCCATGCCCAATGTTTCGATCTGAAAGTATGAGTCAGCAAACATGCTACCTCGAACTCTTGGCATAGCTAACTTTATAGTTGTGCTGTAGAAAAAATCTTTGAGCTCGTCTGTAGGCGGCAATGGATCACGGGGCGTGCACAGCAAAGCGAGCGTAGGAGCAGCGGCAGAAGGAGTAGGAATCCACATTCGATGGCCGCCCGTGTGCCCAAGCAGTCCCGTGCTGTGCCCCGTCCCCGTTCGTTGGCAACTGGCTGCAGATGATCAAGCGGCGCCCGAGGCAGAGCGCGCGGCCATGCCATGCCGGCAACAGCGGCCGAGCTATGCTACCTGCCCGGCAGATACGCCTGAAAGGGCCGCGCCCATTTCAAACCACGTCTCTCACAGGACGACGACGATGCACAGTACGCTAACTTTCCTCCATTATTGGCAGGCCATTTTGTCGCCTCCCCTTCATCAGGAAGTAAGATAAGAATTCGATGGAGTCACGGAGAGCGCAATGGAACAACGTAGTACTACTACAGTACTGTGCTCCGCCGCAGTGCATGTGTACTTCATGCTTTGTGCACGCTCACGGACGGGCTCAAGTAGGATAGGAGTATAGGACTCCACCGCACATTCACCAATATTTCGGGCCCAAACGTCACTAGTCACTACCACGATTCAGTGTTCTCGCCATAAAAGTAAAAGAAAAACGTCACGATTCAGTGACTCGATCCTCTCCTCTCCCATGCTGAGCCAGCCCTGCTCCCCTTTCCTGTTTCACGAAGAATCTGGCTCTGCGACTCTTTGATGAAAGGCATGGCATGGCAGGCAGTCCCAAAGAAAAAGGCGACTGCTCCTCCAATACTCCGTGCCAAGTAGAAAGACGCCGTGCTTTATCTCCGCTTGCCGTATAGTGCCATGCTGCTAGAGTACGGACACGGAGGCCACAGAGTATAGTCCTGAGGTCCTCTGTTTGGAAAGCTGACTGCCTATCGTCTTTACCGGCCATCCGGAGAATCGTCGCCCGAGAAGCAAAATGGCGGGTCAAATCATCTTGTATGTTGATTCTTTGTCAAACGGTCAATTGACTAGTTGTATGTGTGTACATGCATATTTATTGAGATTCAAAGATGCACGACTAGGAAGTTGCACATTTTTAGACAGAAACAATGCAACTTCAGGGGAGAGGATTTACAGCACGTAGGTCCGGGGGCCAACGATTTGCGCCAAGATTCATGACATGGGTTATGTATACACACAGTTTCATTTTTTAATTTTTTTTATGTAATGCCACTAGATGCATCATTGTTGATAGGTTCTTTAGCTCCTTCCTCATCTGTTATATCTTTTTTCTTGGATTTTTTTATTATTATGGAGTTTTTTATCATCATCTTTTTCCCGTCTCTATTGTATAACGAATTAAGTATCTTCTTAATGGATTGAAAGAAATTTTTCTATTACTCTCTTATTGGTGGATTTCCTCCGCTTAATTTCGAAATTTACCCAGCCTTTTGAGTACTAGGATCTCCCCCTTGTCCCAGCAGATCGGTACCCAGACCATATCCTTGGGCAGCTCGGATGTATCTATCTTTTCGTTCAGATCACATCATCTCGAGTGCGAAATCTTATTAGTGGATCAGAAGATTATGGTGACCCGTGGATCTTCAGATGTTGATTTGCAGAGCAGGGCCGGAATGCGGGGATTGCATTCTTCGAAAAGTATCATATCTTCTTTCCCTAGGGAGAAAGCAGAAACCAAAAGCGAGTGGAGGTTCGATCTCTCACCCAAAGCAATTGGGGCTGGTGGAATCTTCCCCATCTGTATACCAATGTCGATATACCTGTTGGTGTGGGTCCGATACCTGTTTTCTAGGGTCCGTTAACAATGGACAACGAGAACGGACATACGGATACAGAATGGATGAGCAAAAACGATTCGTTATGCCATTGTTGTGTTGTTCTTCATAGTTCTTGTTTCTTTGTACCTTCTTGTCCCTTGAAAAAGAACACCCACCTTTAAGCATTGTTTCAGTCGGGGAAAGGGAAAATATCATCTTTTGTTCATAAAGATTGAAGGTCTCCAAAGATATCAACACCCGCAGAACTATATTTAGTGCAAGCTACTGTTTCGGTTGAAAAGGTTTGCTTTCTTATACATATTTGGTTACGATCTTGTTTCTTACATCACAACATTTTAATGTCTCATATAGCAGGGAATCTCATCTTTGATGTTCGTTATCCTGGAACAACTTTTCTGTTCGACAATTTGAGTCTGTCTAATATGAAATAGTAAGAACTGAAATATTACGATGGAGGTGAAAAAAGTGTCTGCATCCTCACTATAACTTGGTTTGGTAACAGCATCACATGTGTATGGAGGCAACACTGCCTCTAAGGTAGGTCTCACATGTCCTGCCTCTAACATGACAATCTTGTAGTGTTGGCATGTAACTCTTGGTCCCACCACTGCCTCTAAACCAGGTCATTTCGTTTGCAACATTTACCACTCGTACGTATTCACATGTAGATATTTTGCTATTGTATTCATCAGAGGCGTCCCCTAAATTTTTTTTCTTCCTTAAGAGGGAGATGTGCACAATGTATAGAAGCAACCTTAATTAGACGCAGAAAGAGCATACACTTGTGTGCTCCAACTGGTTACTAGAAACACCCACAGTGTATGATTATTGCTACCTAAGCCCCCTGCCCTCCTTTTAGAGATGGTCTCTATAGATTGCACCACTTACCTCTAGTATCGCCTTTAACCTTAGAGAGAGAGAAAAAACAAGTAAAAATTCAACCGGTCTTGTTTGTAAGCCTTAAGGGCTTCTTTGATTCAAAGGAATTTTATAGGATTTCTGGAGGATTGAAATTCTTAGGATTTTTTTCTATATTAGTCCTTTGATTCATATGATTGGATCCCATAGGAATTTTTCCTATGAAATCTTTTGTACTACATTTCATAGGAAATTTAACATCCACTTCAACTTTTTTTTACAATTTCTTTGTTTTTTCCATGGCATCAAACAATCGTTGCTAATTCTATAGAATTCAAATGGGCATGCCACTTCAACCCTACACTTTTCCTATTCCTACGTTTTCAAAATCCTACGAATCAAAGAGGCCCTAAGAATACCTAAGAAAGCCCAAGAGAATGGTTATATGGTGCTATTCACAACGTGTTTTTCTCTAGAACATAACCATGCAGGGTTGCCTGCCTCTATACATGTACACTGAAAAAGGGGCAAAAACCGACGAGCACACCAGGACATACGCATCGGCAACAAGAGGTTGGTAGGCCGGCCAGAACCGGCAAAGGCACAATCCATCCCTTCGGAAGAATCTCACCTTCACGTATGTAAAAAAAAGGACTCCCAGACAAAGGACGCACTGATGGAAATCACAGTGGCCTTTGGGCAGACACATGAGGTCGCCATGAAAGCTGTCCATCCATGATCCATCCATGCACCCTAGTACGCTCGTCGTCGTAGCTGCATGCATGCATGCATGTCTAGCCAGCGGCCAGCAGCGGCACTCAGCAGGCAGGCAGGCAGGCAGGCATGCACCACTGCAGCAGCGAGAGCCTGGCGCTGCACTGCACTGCGCTTGCGTCTGCATGCATGGCCTGGACTCTTGCCTGCCGGTGCAATTATTTTCCCGTCGAATCCAACCAAAAGTGTGCGTCTGCCCTTTTCGCCATGTGAACCTGCCTTGTTCTCTTCCTTCTCTAGCCTAGCCTAGCCCAGTTCGGCGGCCGCGCTCGTGAGCCGCGGCCGGCAACAGCGTAATGTACGTGAGTCCGAGCTTACGTACGTGGCTTGCCGGCTGGATCCACATCTCCCGTAGAACAGAACAGAACGGAGGAGGAAAAATAGTAGTAATCCATGTTGGTCTGTTGCTTTCAGCCGTTCTGTTAAACACAATCATACACATCACATGGGCACTTGATAGACACCCTCTCGGTTTGTCACTCGATGGATGCTGGCGATTTTAGTTGTTTATCTTCATAATTGACCCCGGTTTCGCTGCTCAATTTCTGCACAGTTCGTCGCCCATTTTCCTATTCCAGCACTTCAATTTCTTAGAAGAATGTGTGCATGGATGTTGATGGAGAAGAATCGGACGTGTTGACTTGGTTGCGACGGATTGAGCTGGAAGCCACAACCAATAGCACCAGTAACTCTCAAGATAAGAAAACCCCATCCATTACAGCATGGTCAGAACTTCAGAGTCCAACCCAACCCAAGACCAACACCGGAAATGCGGCGGTCAATCAAAGTTAGGCACCGCAAGTGCAACCCGCACAAATCAGCGCAGCCAATCCGTAAACTCGCTTGCGATGTGAACTCCACCCGCGTGCACAAGAATGCAGTCAGCACTCGCTCCCTGCCACTCACTCAGGTCCAACCTTATTCATTGTAGCCATCCTATTCCTGCTGCACTTTTCACAGGTGATGGTCTGATGGATGGCTAGCTAGTGTGCCACCAAGCCGCACGCAAAAAAGTTGGCATCTTTGCACGTCCTCCAAGAGCTAACACTTGGTTACCCACTTTCCCCCAGAAATCAGAATACAATAACACATGCCGGGTGCTCACACATGCGCACAACTTGACAGAGAGGTTTGGTGACATGGGAGAAGTAAAATAATCTGAGTCACAGGAGAACCCAAGTAAGCACCCAACCCAACCAAACCGGCCTGTTTCTCTTCAGAAACTTGACCACACTCCTCCCCAGAACAAGCTCAGACCAACATCTCTCCGAGGCAGAGAACAAACCCACATGATCCGTCAAACACTTGCCTTGCCTCACCTTACCTAGAAGTTAATCAACTCCTCGAACCAAAACTTGAAAACAGAAAGAAAACCAAGAAGAAAATCACAAAAAAAGATGTGGAAAAAGAAGAAGGCTTGGGGTGTGAATCAACTAATTTACTGGATAATACATGGGGGTGTTGTTGTTAGGGCTTGGGCAGCAGCGGCATTTCATTTCATTTTCTTGGAGGGCTATGGACAGTTGGGGTTCTTGCCGGGGCCGCCGTAGTAGAAGTAGGCGCCCCAGTCGCCATTGTTGCCGTTCTGCACGTCGTAGCAGTTGGACTGCTCGGTGAAGGAGCCGATCCCCCGCGGCGCCTTGAGGTTGTTGGACGAGTCCACCACCTGGATGTTCTTGAAGTAGCTCGACTTGCCGAACCCCTCCTCCGGGAAGTGGCCGCTGCCCATCTGGGTGGACGTGTGGCTGCCGTCGGGCTCCGTGTTCACCACCTCGCCGCCCCACTCGATCATCGACGCGCTGTCCGCCAGGTACGAGAAGAGGAACGACGGCCAGTAGCCCAGCACGTAGTCGTTGCCGAACTGCAGCCACCAGTTGCCCTCCTTCGGGTCCTGCATTTTTGCAACCGCAATTTGCGCGCGCATAGTTAGTTATTGGATAGGATCATGATGAGGAGACTGATAGAGATTAGGTGCCTTTTCTGTGCTATATCATCATAGTATCATGCACGAGCAAAAATAAAGCTAATAAGTGCTCGTCCATTATAATGCACTATGAAAAAGGTGGCTCCCTTTCATGAAAATGCTTTGAAACTGCTTTTGAAAATGACCAGGGAATAAGATCTTGTTGCCTATGCAAGTGGCAGATGATCACACAATGGCACATGGCAATGCCGGTGGCAAGTGCTTTTTTTTGTTGTTCAGAAAATGAACATGCAAGTGTTTTGGCTGGCAGAAGAGACATGTTATTTCAAAATTTCGATGCGCAAGGACGTAATTTTTTATAACATGAGAAGCATGAACACAGGTGGAATATTCCTGTTTTTTCAAGTGTAAACTAGCAAGCATCAGCGTGTGTGTGTGTTGGCAGGCATAGATCCAATACTACCACCACTACTTGTGCGAGGACAACTGTGAGAGCGTCCACTGTCCCCAAAGAGGACAGGGCCACGGTGGTTGTGGCCTTGACATAAGCCTCGAGAAAGACCAAGAAACAGGTGGGCATGCACCATGCATGCATGTATGTATAGATTCCTCCGGCCCCATCCACGAATCTGATCGGCATGTGAGGGGCGCTTGTAATTTACCTTCCATACCAAAATGTTGATATCATATTGGGAGCCACCGTAGTTGGAGATAGGGAAGATGCTGGCGCCCATGGCTATCTGGTTGTTTGTCTGGATGAACCCCGAGCAGAGCAGGTTGTAGCACCCTGTTGCCTGATAGGCATCGCTCTACGGTATTCAAAACAGCAATACATAAGTCAGGTACTCATGCCATTCCAAAAGATAGGTATGTGTGTTTTTGAAAAAGGCATGTATGTAGATCTAAGCAATAGGACAAGAGGGGGATTGGAAGGAATGTGATGTTTATCTTACAGTCCAGTAGGTGAATAGTCTGGTGTTGTTGTCTCCATACAAGTCTGGGCTGACCTGAAATTTTGCACAGCACAGGAATGAATCACAGCTTAATCCAGCATCATAAGCAATCTTATTACTTAGCCCCTAAAAACAGTAGCAAGTGCTGCTACTGTATACGGCTCAGAGAGAGAAACATCAGAGAAAATGGAGAATGTAGTCTAGCTTCTACTACCACTACCAAAGTGCAAGGGTCCTTTCAGCAGTGCACATATCATTATTGCAACACAGAAGAAATTATTGAGCGCATGCTGCAAGGAGGAAATGCTCCTCATAATTGAGAGCATGCAAGGAGGAGAAGAACAAGAACAAAATTGGAAGCTGAAGCACAACATTTAATGTAACTTTTTGACTACTGCTAGGCGGTTTTCTTTCCCCCTATATCTCATGTAGCAGTATGCCTCAGCCCTCACTCACCTGCCACCCTGCTTCAATGCTGTTGAGGTCCTGCCCAAAGGAACCCCCCAGGATCCAAAGCTGGGAGAGGCTGAACTCGTTGCCCTGCTGAATGCTTGGCTGCCACACATTGATGGTGGCCTTGGCTCCATAGTACTTATCCCCCTCCACATATGCTATCGCATGCTGATGACAGAGTCAAATGACAGGGTTAAATGAGCCAATGACCACTTGAACAAGCTACGTAGTTACTTGCTGAATCCTGAATGGGGCATGGCTGTACCTGGTGGCCGTTCTCATTGAGCATGGCAGGGTCGACGGACGAGGGGTTCGGGGTGCTGAGGTGCGTCTTCTTGCCATACCTCTTGATGGAGCTGGCCCTGAAGACGTCCTCCTTCTTGGTCCTCCGGATTGGGATGGTGCTCTCTTGGCACCGGCCGTTCTGGTGCCACATTTGGGTGATTGTCTGCGTGCGCTGCTTCTGGGATGCGACCTTGGATTCATCATACAGGCCTTCTGGGCGGTATGCAGGCCTCGTCTGAAAAGCACGGCGCCACTGAGTGTTAGCATCCATCATAACTTGTGGGGGAGAGGCTGTGAAAAAGGGCAGCGGTGGTGCTGGAGAGAGAGGTACCTGGATAGTATGGTTCTTGAGCAAAGGGTGGTCGAAGGCGGGCTGGCTGGAGATGGGCACGCAGTCTATGATGTCCCCGTCCGGGCTCTGTTCATTTCTCAGAATCAGTTCTTTCTTGCAATAATCAATTAATTAAAAACAAGGCATGGTGCTAAATTCAGATTAGAAAATGCAGCATTGGCTTCAGAGTACCATCAATCAGACAACTGCCCCCAAAATTGTGCATTTCGAAGGAACTGAAAGAAGAACACTACTAGTAGTGGGAAAATGCTAGTATGATTTGGCCTAAAAGTGACTGCTGCAGTCAAGTTCTCTCCACTAAAGAAAGGAAAGCGAGCGAGCAAAAGCAGGCGTGGCTCCTTTCAACGTCGAATGAACCCAAGAAGCACGGGCACCCATAAGCCTTTTCCCTCCGGCGACGGACAGAGAGAGAGAGAGAGATTAAATGCATGGCCCTCGACGGATGCACTTGAGCAAGAAGAAGCAGTCAATCAGCGCTTCCAAAGCAATGCAAGCGCGCGCATGAAGCACATACAAAAGGCATCGCCTTTCTTCGACTTCCATCCATGCCGGATACGCGCCGTCTCTCTTTTCTTTTCATGGATTCATTCATTCATTCACTTGAGCAAGCGTAGCAAAGCAGTAGATTGAAGGCGCGCCGCCGTTCTGGGGAGGAAGGAGAGGAGGGAGACGAGACGAGACTGGAGGGGTGGATGGATGTACCTCAATGCTGGCGAGCGGCGCCTTGTTGAGGCGCTTGAGGTGGTACTGCACCTGCCGCTGCTTCAGCAGCTGCCTCCGCCGCGTCAGCCCCCTGCCGCCGTGCCCCGCCGCCGCTCCCTCGGCGCAGCAGGCCAGGAGGAGAAGCGCCGCCGCCATGACCGCCGGCAGAACGGCGAGGCACCGGCGGCGGCGGGAGGACGAGCGCGCGCGCGGCGCAGCAGCCATGGGCACGGGCCAAGGAGGCGAGCGCTCACGTCACGCGCGCACAGTCGCACCCGCGCGTGCTCTGCTCTGCTCTGGCCGACGGACGGGGCGACGAGAGAGATGGCGCGCTTAAAAATCGGCCCGTTGGTGGCGTCGCTCTCGCTTCGGCAGCCGCGCCCGCTGCTCTCTCTCTCTCTCTCTCTCTCTCTCTCTCTCGCTGCACAGTGTGGCGCGTACGAGTAGAGTAGGACGGGAGGCGACGGGGGAGAGAGAGAGGGAGAGGGAAGGAGGAGGAGCAGACATGGCGTCGCGTCCTGGCGTTTAAAGCTGGGACGAGAGGAGGCGACGGGACCCGGCCGGGTCAGGCTCGGCGGGCGGGGCCCGGCGTCCAGTGTCTCGCTAGGTCGCACGGTCGCCGGTGGAGCCGAGCCGGCACCGGAAGGGCCGTGGTGTGCGGTGTGTACACGCGCGGGTTCGGTTGCAGGATGTTTGCTTCAATCAAGCGGAACGCCCGTTGGTGCACCGTGCGCGTGGGGAAGGGTACGTACAGTGGTTGATTGACGGGTGCGAGGAGTTTCCATGTACTCCCTCCGTCCGGAAATACTTGTAATCAAAATGAATAAAAGAAGATGTATCTAGATATATTTTAGTTCTAGATACATCCCTTTTTGTTCATTTTAATGCCAAGTATTTTCGGACGGAGGGAGTACGCACTCTGCGCCCGTCCTCGCCTGCTGTTTCTCCTAGGGCACAACCTTTTTTCCTGAGAAGATTAGGGCACAAATTGGATATGTAAATCTCTCTCAAAAGAAAAATTGGATATGTAAATATCTAGGATTTTGTTTTGATACACCCCTTAGAATAGTTTACGGTTTCCAATGCACATTACAGATGAAGATTAGGAAGTATCCGATTCGTCCGTCAAAAAGGATGATATGGTCTTTGTATCAATGTATAAATATATCAATCTATTCAATAAGTTTGATCTTTCCCTGAAAAAAAAATTAAATCGTTTGATCTTTCCCATAAAAAAATTTAAAAACGTTTGGTTTGCAGGTTAATATGACGATAGCCTATTTAAGTAACTTTTATTAAGATCCGTTTCAAACTTTTAAGGAGGGTGTACCAGTCAAAACTGTAATTTGTATGGTACTACCAACTTGGGCTGGGTCCAAAATAGATTTATAGTCCCTCCGTTCCAAATTACTCGTCATAAAAATGAATGTATCTAGAACTAAAATACATCTAGATACATCCATACCTGCGACAAATAATTCGGAACAGAGGGAGTACATGTTAAAAAATTACTCTATTTTTATACATATAATTGGAAATATTTTAAATTTCATCACAATGTATTCCTCTCGTTTGTTTGGATTGGGATAAGAAAGGCTCTCTAGATAGACTAAGGGTTTCATGCAATGTGGATCGGGATGGTGGGCTGTTTCCTGCAATGTGGACCGGTACTCCGTCACTAAAGAAATATAAGACCTTTTAATTCACTATAAAGTATCTCTGGGTTGCAACAGGTCATAGATTACCGGAATTGATAAAAATACGACCTCAGGTTTTTGGGCTCCTGGCGTGAATGCCTTGTTGCCGTTGGATCGAGCACATGCATCTCAATCGCCAGTGAATCGTTCACGTCCAGGCCGAAGCCGCCCGAACGACTTTTCACCTCGCATGCCCGGGCAAACACCTATTCACCTCCACCCATTTCCCCTACTGCCTTATCCGCTCGCCACCGGATTCCAAGGAGAGGCGGCCGGCGTTGGGCATGCACGGACAAAGGCGAACAACGTCCGGGAGTCGAAGCGATGTGTGGGTGGCGCGCGAGTGCAGTGGAGAGGCTGCGGGAGGACGACGACCGACAACACCAGGCTGCTGCCCTGCGGGAGGGCAGCGTCCGACGGGTACCAGGATGCGGCCCTTGCGGGTGGGAGAGTGCATCCAATGTGCACTGGTAGAAGCCTCGATGTCATCCTTTGCCAACGGGCTCGACGGATGGAGGTCCGGTCGTCGGAGCAACACGGATTGCGCGGGGGCGCGGAGGCGATAGCCATAGCTCCTCTGCGTTGATTTGTTGTCGCGTCGTGGATGAGGCCATCAAAGATCCACCAAGGGAGGCGAAGGTCGAAAATGTGCCTCCGACGCATGTGCCGCTGTTGGTGGCGGAAGCCCCAACACCGGTGGCCATCTGCTTTGTTTTTATCGTCGCGTCAGCGGATGAGGGCGTCGAGGAGCAACTACAGGAGGCAGAGGTCAACGAGGAGTGATAACCCACAAGCATAGGGGATCGCAACAGCTTTCGAGGGTAGAGTATTCAGCCCAAATTTATTGATTCGACACAAGGGGAGCCAAAGAATATTCTCAAGTATTAGCAGCTGAGTTGTCAATTCAACCACACATGGAAACTTAGTATCTACAGCAAAGTGTTTAGTAGCAAAGTAATATGATAGTGGTGATAGCAGTAAAAGTAATATTTTGGTATTTTGTAGTGATTGTAACAGTAGCAATGGAAAAGTAAATAAGTGAGAACCAGTATATGGAAAACTCGTAGGCACCGGATCAGTGATGGATAATTATGCCGGATGCGATTCATCATGTAACAGTCATAACATAGGGAGACACGGAACTAGCTTCAGTTCGTCAATGTAATGTAGGCATGTATTCCGTATATAGTCATACGTGCTTATGGAAAAGAACTTGCATGACATCTTTTGTCCTACCCTCCCGTGGCAGCGGGGTCCTATTGGAAACTAAGGGATATTAAGGCCTCCTTTTAATAGAGAACTGGAACAAAGCATTAGCACATAGTGAATACATGAACTCCTCAAACTATGGTCATCACCGGGAGTGGTCCCGATTATTTTCACTTCGGGGTTGCCGGATCATAACACATAGTAGGTGACTATAGACTTGCAAGATAGGATCAAGAACTCACATATATTCATGAAAACATAATAGGTTCAGATCTGAAATCATGGCACTCGGGCCCTAGTGACAAGCATTAAGCATAGCAAAGTCATAGCAACATCAATCTCAGAACATAAATGGATACTAGGGATCAAACCCTAACAAAACTAACTCGATTACATGATAAATCTCATCCAACCCATCACCGTCCAGCAAGCCTACGATGGAATTACTCACGCATGGCGGTGAGCATCATGAAATTGGTGATGGAGGATGGTTGATGATGACGACGGCGACGAATCCCCCTCTCCGGAGCCCCGAACGAACTCCAGATCAGCCCTCCGAGAGGTTTTAGGGCTTGGCGGCGGCTCCGTATCGTAAAACGCGATGATTTCTTCTATTTGATTTTTTTCTCTCCGAAAGCAAATATATAGAGTTGGAGTTGGCGTCTAAGGGTCAATAGGGGGCCCACGAGGTAGGGGGCGCCCTAGGGGGGGCGCCCCCCACCCTCGTGGAAAGGGTGTGGGCCCCTGGTCTTCATATTTGGCGAGAATTTTTTATTATTTTTTCTAAGACCTCCCGTGGAGTTTCAGGTCATTCCGAGAATATTTGTTTTCTGCACATAAAACAACATCATGGTAATTCTGCTGAAAACAGCGTCAGTCCGGGTTAGTCCCATTCAAATCATACAAGTTAGAGTCTAAAACAAGGGCAAAAGTGTTTGGAAAAGTAGATACGACGGAGACGTATCAACTCCCCCAAGCTTAAAGCCTTGCTTGTCCTCAAGCAATTCAGCTGACAAACTGAAAGAAAAAAAGAAAACTTTTACAAACTCTGTTTGCTCTTGTTGTTGTAACTATGTCAAGCGAGCATTCAAGTTTTCAGCATAGATCATAACTAACCACACTTGCAATAATTCTCAGGTCTCATCATTACTCATATCAATAGCATAATCAACTAGCAACTCATAATAATAAATCTCGGATGACAACACTTTCTCAAAACAATCATAATATGATATAACAAGATGGTATCTCGCTAGCCCTTTCTGAGACCGCAAAACATAAATGCAGAGCACCTTTAAAGATCAAGGACTGACTAGACATTGTAATTCATGGTAAAAGAGATCCAATCATATGTTGGAAATATGCCCTAGAGGCAATAATAAATTAGTTATTATTATATTTCATTGTTCATGATAATCGTTTATTATCCATGCTATAACTGTATTGATAGGAAACTCAGATACATGTGTGGATACATAGACAATACCATGTCCCTAGTAAGCCTCTAGTTGACTAGCTTGTTGATCAATAGATGGTTACGGTTTCCTGACCATGGACATTGGATGTCGTTGGTAACGTGATCACATCATTAGGAGAATGATGTGATGGACAAGACCCAATCCAAAGCCTAGCACAAAGATCGTGTAGCTCGTATGATAAAGCTTTTCTAATGTCAAGTATCATTTCCTTAGACCATGAGATTGTGCAACTCCCGGATACCGTAGGAGTGCTTTGGGTGTGCCAAACGTCACAACATAACTGGGTGGCTATAAAGGTACACTACAAGTATCTCCAAAAGTGTCTGTTGGGTTGGCACGAATCGAGACTGGGATTTGTCACTCCGTGTAAACGGAGAGGTATCTCTGGGCCCACTCGGTAGGACATCATCATAATGTGCACAATGTGACCAAGGAGTTGATCACGAGATGATGTGTTACGGAACGAGTAAAGAGACTTGCCGGTAACGAGATTGAACAAGGTATCGGGATACCGACGATCGAATCTTGGGCAAGTATCGTACCGATAAACAAAGGGAATTGTATACGGGATTGATTGAATCCTTGACATCGTGGTTCATCCGATGAGATCATCGTGGAACATGTGGGAGCCAACATGGGTATCCAGATCCCGCTGTTGGTTATTGGCCAGAGAGTTGTCTCGGTCATGTCTGCATGGTTCCCGAACCCGTAGGGTCTACACACTTCAGGTTCAATGACGCTAGGGTTATAGGGAATAGATATACGTGGTTATCGAATGTTGTTCGGAGTCCCGGATGAGATCCCGAACGTCATGAGGAGTTCCGGAATGGTCCAGAGGTAA